ATTTTTCTAAGGAACAAAAGGAGGAAATGAACTGAGGAAGAGGTAATATGATGTGGAAAAAGAAAGAGATTTTATTATCGGAGCCATAAATCATCTACCATATTCTCATTTAGCAGTGTGATAATAGTGACCATTTTATCTAAATAAGCTTACTTATGATAGGTTTTTGAAATCAACAATGGAAAATATAAAACTGTTGAATCGTTGCGCTGCAACAATGTCACCTGTGGAAAAAGAAAAACAGCAGTTTTTATTTTGGTCAGAATTTTTCATGGAAGCTATCGATTCAGAAGAGGAAATTGTTTGCGGGCGTTTTCCGGTTCTTATTCAAGAAGTTACAAAGGTCACTTCATTCAGTGCTTTCTTTCGTGATGCGTTTTTCTTGTTTGGCTTCTAAAAATTACTTGTTTTTTTCATTTCCCTGGTTATACTTCCCTTTTTTTATATTCAAAATACCTTACCTGTTATAGCAAGCATGAAAAAAAATTTGTAGTTTTTCTGGATGTGCCCTGAAGTTGTCGAAATGTGAGATGTATAGTCCTCAAACTATATAATTTTTTGTCAGATAATAGGCACTAGTACTTAAACTATTCTACTTTTATTTCAGCAGTACACACCGAGCTTTTTAACACTGAATGTAGGCGAGGGTTCGATCATTCTCAGTCATGTGCTGGAGAGCAGTCAGCAAAAGAAACCTCCTCCGGGTGAGAAATCTTTCTTTATTTATGATTTTCCTAAAGCCGTCATTATTTTTATGGAATCTGGCAACAGCTTTTTGATACTTATGATGGATATATCACCAATACATATAGGTAAAGGAATAATCATAGATTAAACTTTTAATAATCAAGGAAACAATGAAACTAGATAACGTTGAATTGCATAGAACGTGCAACATCTCATATGTTATAGTCGCATATTTTCCAAGTATGTATTTAACTTTAACACTTAACGTTATCATATTCTATTCTACTTTAGGCATTCATCGGTGGCATTTCACTGCTGCAAATATTAAAGCAGTTTCTGCATCCAAACGTGATGATCGTTCTATGTTCCTTTACGTCCACGAAAATTCAGATGACTTCAATTTAGTGTTCCCATCAGCTGCCCATTGCAATAAGTATTTTTTGGTTTTTATTATCTCATTTGTTGGATAGTTTTGTATAGGGTTGGTTTTTCTGATATTTAATTTTCGTAGGGTAATGGGTTCGTTGATCGAAATGATTAATGAATTGGATGGTAATGCAGGCCGTGTTTTGCACGATTGCGAAGCCCAAAATCGCTTAGAGGTAGGCACTGGTAAATTATATTGATTTACCTGTAGGTAATTTAGTTCCTGATCACATTGATTGATATTGTAGTTCGAATATGAATTAACAAACAGTGGTGATCGTGTGGTACTTGGTCGTGGGACATATGGTGTTGTTTATGCTGGAAGAGATCTGTCAACACAAAGGTAAAAATTTCATTGCTTGACTAATTCCAACCTCTTTTTTTCGTTTGTTTAATTATTAAATTTTTTTTAAAAAAAAAAACTTCATCATCATTGTTTAAAATACAACATAAAAAATTTCTTCGTGAAAAAAGGGCTTTCTGTGCTCTTTTATTTCTGCCATTTTCTTTACAAAGATTCGCTTCATAGTAGTATCGAATGCCCTTACAGCCGAGTTGCAAACAAGTATATGAAGTGCTTGTTTTTATAGATCGTTTTTGATTAATTCGGATATTGCGTCCATTCTTCCGTATTCTTTTTATGTCCATGGGTCAGTTCGAGGTGATATTCCATGGAACATTCAATTGTGCTATACGATCCTTAATACCGTCGAAATTTTCAAAAATTGATTTAAATTATGAATTTATAATAGATCGATAGTGATAAAAGAAGTGGAAGTTAAAAATGAAGAGGAAGTGCAACCACTGATGGAAGAGATTCAATTACATTCAACCCTTTCACATCAGAATATTGTTCAGTATCTGGGGTGTAAACTACTCAAAAAAGATCAAGGAAATGATATTTTTCAAATTATCATGGAACAAGTCCCTGGAGGTAAGCGAAATTATGATCAGTATAATAAATTAAGTTGCGCTGATACTATTTCGGAGTAAATTCAAAGGAAAGTTTCAAATTTTCGTTCAAATCTCAAAAAGGAAAGTCTTTACAGGCGTTTCCTTTACTGTCTTTACAGGCAGTTTAAGTTCTTTGCTGCGCAGCAAGTGGGGTCCACTGTTAGATAATGAGAAAACGATGGCTATATATGGTAAACAGATACTCGATGGTTTACGCTATTTGGTATGTCTTAAGACTTTTCGTCTTTATCTCTTTATGACTCATTCAGATTTATATTTCGGTCATCCTATATATTAATCGTTTTTAACCTGTTTTTAAAGCACGTTAATAGTTCAACTTATTTTTTCATATTTTCTCTGCTTCTCTTCTTTTTTTCTTTTTTTTTTTTTAAGAACAGTACACAGATCATCAGGATTGTTCATAGTTTCATCATCATTCTCTTTGATATTGAAACCAGACAGTAAATAGAGCAGCTGTCCAGTCTCATCTCTTCCATGTTGTCTTTGTTGTAGCACGATCAGAAAATAGTTCACCGTGATATAAAAGGCGACAATGTATTGGTGAATACATACAGTGGTGTTTGTAAAATATCTGATTTTGGCACTTGCAAAAGATTAGCTGGTCTGAATCCGGTAACAGAAACATTCGCTGGAACATTGCAATATATGGCTCCAGAGGTAAGCTTTTTATTTAAAAGAATTATTGATATTTCATTAATTGATTATTTGCTTTCGTCTCCTTGCTTATCCGTGTGTTATGACTCCCAACAATTGAAACAACTGAAACGACATTTCTCAGATCAAGCATGATAGACTGGGTAAATATATGATTTTCATTCTGTGTAATTTTTCACTTAGATTTTAGATTTTTTTTCTAGGTTATCGATCATGGACAACGAGGATACGGTGCTCCAGCAGATATCTGGAGTTTTGGTTGTACGATGGTTGAAATGGCTACCGGGCGACCACCGTTTGTTGAACTAGGCTCACCGCAAGCAGCAATGTTCAAGGTTGGAATGTTCAAGACTCATCCACCGATACCTGATGGTTTGAGTGAACGATGCAAACGATTCATTCTGAGGTAAGCTATATTTATTGTTGGTCATAATGATGGTAGTAGTATATTTATGTATTATCCCCAAAAATTGTTGTTAATAAGACCGGGAAACGCGAGTGCTTATACTCTTTGCAATAAGCAACATACGGGAAAACAGTGTGCATTAACCTCTTAAAAACATTTTCATTAAAGTAGCAGGATTTTCGGACATTCTATACAGCCTATCCTTTAGAGTCAACTGCATACCATCGTGTGCAGTCTTTAAGTACAGCTCATTTGCTGCGATCATTGAAACAGTAAAACAGTTTGCCTTTACTTTTTTAATTTACATATTTTATGATTTTTATCATTTTCACTACTGTACTGCTTGGATTATTTGCAGATGTTTTGAACCCGATCCACGGAAACGTGCCACAGCAGCAGAATTGCTAATGGATCCTTTCATACAACACTTGATACCACATTCGTATTTTTTCTTTCATTTTTGGCTCTTTTTTTCATATAATAAATGTAACTTCTTTTTGGCTTAGTCGGTCATATAATGATATATTTCTCTTTCAGAAATCGAGCTGGAAGCGCTAATAAAAAACATTTCGGGGCATGGAAATATAATCGTGGTAAGTTTGTGTACTTATTATAAGTATTTGGCAAGATTTTTGTTTTCAAGTTGGAGGGAAGACGACATTCATTTGAATATTGAACACAGAGTGATTCTGTGATGCTCATACCATAGAATGCTAGATATCTAAAGTATACTCATCTTAATACGTTTGCCGATACTAACTTGTCAAAACATTTAATTTTACATTTCTTTAATCTTTGATGAGATGAGAGAAACAAGCAGTTATGGAAATATTTTATATGGTCGCATTTCTGTCAGTCATTGTCCGCTTTATTTTTAGCTAGTCTAATTTTAATGTGTATTTTTTTATTACTATTAGCTTTTAATAATCTGTAGTCGCTTTCTCAGAATTTTATGGCTTCTTTTTTGAATGGATTTCTTTGTTATCTTGTTTTATTCCTATCATCTTCAATATATGCTTCATCAGTTCTACTGCTAGGATTTGAACATCTTTTATTTCTTCGTAATAATCTCAAAACTTCGTCTCTTTTTTTTTCTCAACCATGCCTGCTTAAAAGCTAGAGAACAAAACAGATTTTCCAGTTGTCCTGTTAATGTTAAAATAAAATGTGAATTTTGCAGAAATGCAACGCTCAGTATCCTATATGGGCACGCAAGGAGAAGCAGGTAGAGATACGGAAACAGTGAAGAATTTACACTTGTTAATTGAAAGTGCAACAGCTCCACGTCTTACATCATATCAACTGGATCATAATACCACCAGTCCAAATTCTTGCAATTTACAACTAAGCCAACCTTCATCACCAATCATCGGTAATTATTTCTTTCATATGTCACTTTTCTATTTAAAACGTTTTAATTCATTTTCCTTCTGTATGAAATTTTGAAATTAGATAATGAGATTAATAAACGTGGGTTTATTTCCGAATAAGAAGAGTAAAAGCTGAAATGAATCTTTGCAGATGATAATAATACTCATTCGCAGTTGAATTCATCATCACTGTTAGGTAGTCCGTCTGTGAATGGTGCTGTCCCATCATTTACAAATTCCACTTTGTTAAATCGGACTGCTTCCGATGAAAGTGGAATGTCTTCGCGCTTCTTCATGCTTAAGAAAGATTCCGAGCGGCGCAATACTTTAGCTCGTTTCATGTTGGATTATAAAATCGAGGTATTCCTCTTTTTTTATCTACATATGAATTAGGTTGCAAGTTAAAAGATTTGTTAAATGTGTGAAGAACACCATTTTCAGATTTAAATACGGTTGGTCTGAAGCACCCAATCATAACCTTGCAAACATCGCATGTCTTTATACGCTGCGTTTAGTATTAGAGCAGTTATGATATTTTCAGAGTTTTTTTTTTTGGATTATTTACTGGATTTTAATTTCTTTCTTTTTCTAGATTATTGATAACTGGTATGAGCATCTTACAAAGAGTCAGCTTACGGGTGATTTAGTTGTCACAAAGGTAAGTTATTGATCATTAGAAGAAGACGATATTTTTAGTAATTAGATTTATAAACATGGACAAACTAAATCACCAAAATTTGAAATGTATTATTATTCAGTACAAAGATTTTCAGTTTTTAAGTGTGCTATTCAATGCGAAGATTTTAGGAGATGCTGCTAACTTTGTTGCTTGGCATGCGCAATTATTTATTGTCAAAGGATACAGCTCCTATACAGGTATAGTATGTTTGGATTTCTTTATAATCTACTGAAACCTGAGAAAATGACACGTTGAGGTTAAAGCAGTAAGTCTGTTTCCCAAATAGTATGTAAAATTATCAGACCATTTTGAAATTGCATATTGCGTTTAAGGAATTAGGATAAATGTAGTAAAATGTCAATATCAGGTTGTATGAATTGAAAATTCTGGAATTACCTATTTAGAAAAACAAAAATCTATGAAATACTTCTTTTTGAAAAGAAAAACCCTTGAAATATTTATGATCTTATTTTCAGGATGCAATTGATACGGTTCGAGCACAACTTGATTTCGAGCCCGCCGCAATATCACAAGTTAATCTTGCACTGTATGGTTTTTCAGAAGCAGTGCAACCATCACTTCGTCAACAAACCATCAAACCACATTGGATTTTTGCCCTTGATAACCTGATACGTAGCGCTGTGCAAGCTGCTGTTAGTATTCTTTCTCCAGGTATGATTTTTATGTTACTGTTTATCTTTTTTATCGCGGCAACGTGTATTTACTACGCAAAACGTTTCCAAATCACTATCTTATCACAACATTTTAAAATATATCCGTATTGCTATTGATGCCTAAAAAAATTATTTTTATGAATAATAACATTGATTTCATAGAAAAAAAATACATCATCGACGCTTAAATACTTATTGAACTGTTATTTGAATGCTTCTATACAAGGTTAGTTTGTCTATGTACACATAATTGTACTTTTTTGCTGTATCATTAACAAGAAATATTGAGCTTTCATACATTCTGATACTTTCATTTCTTTCTGGTATTTCCCGTTAGAATAGGCTCAGAGCAGTTTTTACGTTGTACTTCTCTGCTACTGATTAGATCAATTGAAAATACTATTAAATATTTCCCATAACTCAAGGTATTTTATTCGGATCTACAATAAAAACGCATTTAAACGATAATGAAAGACATAGCATTGAGAGCAGAAGGTAGGGGAACGAGAGAAGCTGAAAAGAATTGCTGTATTTTCAAGTTGAAGAAATGAAATATGGCGAAAAAAATAAAATATTAGTGTAGGATATATTAACTTTATAAAAATTCGATGTATGGTTGGACCTATTTCATCGAAATAAATTACATTTGTCATCTATGGTATTCTTCATGAAGAAAATGCGTTACGCTGTTATGCGTATCGATTGTGTTAGCTTGTCTCTCCGTTTTGCTTATTTCACATCCTCCTTGATTTCATCTTCGTAACAGTTAAATTTTTTTTCTACTTTAAAATTTTTAGACTTTATATCTGGTTATTTTCTTTTCTTTTTTTTTCTTTAATTTGCAACGTAAGAGATTCTCGCACCTAGCTAAATGAAGTACTAATGTTCGGGAATCAGTGGTTCATACTGCTGTAGTTTTTTCTTGCAATGATATTCGATTAACGTTGTTGTCATAATCTTATACCGTATTGTCTGATCACACCATATTGTCTGATTAGTCTGATCGCAAGACATAATTTCAGCATAATTCTTTCGGCGCTGAAAGAGTCAAATGAATAATTCTGTTACCTTTCTAATAAGCAAGCAATCAGTGCAATTTTCGGAATTTCGTGATGAGATTTAAATTATTAAATTTATTCAGATTTATTGAATTATCATATGACATGCATATTTTGATTAATGGCGACTTGCACCATTTTTAAGATTTCTGGCTTTATTGCTATGGAAGAAATTTTCCAATGCAGCATATCAGATTATCAAAATTATTAGAACATTTAAACGCATTGCTTATCTTGGATAAGTATGAATGAGAATATTTATTCCTTTTAATTCAGCTATTGGTAAAAATGACACCACAGCTGATGAATTTTTCAGATCTGTCAGCAATGCTGTCGGTACAGGATGCACCGGGTAATCGCATGTCATCAGTATCTCGTGAAAGTGCTGGCTCTCATAGTGAACATTCAACCGTGGATAGTCGATCGTGTTCTGCATCTCGTGGTATTACAAGAGAATCGATGTGGGGTAATTTTTCACCGGAAATGCGCAAAGAGATGCGAGCACTGGTTGATGAAAATAGGAGGTGGGAATCGATTGTCTTGTTTTATTTCCGTGAATTCAAGTAAAAATCTCTAGCGAAAATATTTTATGTTGACATTTTTTTAGCGGTAGTCATTTATTTTTGTAATTCAGAGGAATCCTGTATTTCAGCTGACTTACCTTCAATTTCTCAATTTCTTTCTTTTCTCTCCAATTTCTCCCTTTCACAAATCCCTCTTTCAGGTTGTTTGAGGAGTTGGTTACCGTTGAACGTGAATACAACGAATTACTTCAGACTACTTTGAAGGAGAAAAGATTGCGTGTGGAACGTTTATCTGACTTATTGTCTGATAACGATAATACACCAAGTAATCAACAACTGCCAACACCACCATCGCTGCCATCGGGTTTTTTCTCGTCACCGTTGGTGCTGCAAACCAAAGCGAGTTCTAAATCTTCTCCAATATGCACACTGGGGACTTTTCAGTCCTTGGAACAAGAACCATTCAATCGTGCTGAAACTTCTTTGTGAGTCAATTAATTTCTCAGAATAGGATTTAAATTAGTTTAAAATGAAAAATTGGACTGAGATCAATCAAATTGTTGTTAAAATTTAGAAATACAAATTACTGTAATAGGTTTTTATACAAATTTTTGGTGATACCATTCATTGTAGTCATTAATTTCAATAAATGTCTTAAGAAATGTTCGAGATAACGAGTTAGCTCAGTGGCTGCGTTCTATTGGATGTGATAATACTACAATTGGGCGAATTCAGGAGGAAGAATATACAAAACAGGATCTTCTCGACTTTGTCACTCGAGAAGATTTGATGAAGCTTAATCTGAGGTACGTTATGCTATACAGCGGATAGTGTTAGTATTGACAAGAGGGAAGGAGCATATTCAAGATTACCTGTAAACAGAAAAGGAAAAAATACGAAGCTTGTCCTCAGGGAATGAAAATCGAGGTTTACTGCCATCGTAGTTATAATTCCCAAGATTAATTTTTCATAATGTTACTGTCTTTTGTAGTTCCCGGAAGCATAAATTCTCTTAATCTTAACCTTATGGACTTCATGTTAAAATCCGCACTTTGATCTGATTTTTTCTCGATGTAAGTTACATTTTCTGCCAAATTCTATCTCTTCTTATAAGCTGGCAATTATCTGAATAAATGAGATGTTGAATGGTTTTTTCGCTTTTTGCGATTCTGTTATATTTATTGTTTTTTACAGAGGTGGTATAGTGTGCCGTATTTGGCGCAAAATTTTGCAAAATCGTGGAAACCAACGATTTACCGGTTTTTCAACTCCAACGGGTTCCCATTCAAGACATAGCTCATCAGAGGATTTTCATTCGATGCCCAATGATCAAGAAATATTCACCGTAACCGAACTGAACAAAATATGACCTCTGTATTCTGTAGTGTGCATATACACATGTATGTATGTATGTATCTGTATATTTTAATGTTTGAAGCAAGCAAACTTTTTCGATAACAGACAGAAAATAACGTTTTTTTATCTGTAACAAAACTTTTCTTTTTAGTTGTTTATTTCAATGTTGAACATTATATATATATATTATATATATATATATATATATCTTAAGCCGGTACTACTTATTTCATTTTTTGCTCTCTTTCATAACTCTACACCATTTCATTTATTCTGTAAATTTATCGTTATTTATGTTACTTTAGTGCGTGTTTTCAAAAAGGCACTTCACATTCTGTTGTGGGATTTTTTCTTTTTTTCTGCCACCTATTTGTAGAAGTACTTTTGTTATTAGTTCCTTTTTTATTTTATTTTTTCTCTTATAGAACATTGTTGGAAATTTTTCGCTATCAGCAGCTCAGAAATGGCCTATACAATTGCCATCTTTTGAATATGGACCGCCTAATCTACTTGTAAGATTCTTAAAATTGTCAATGCGGTACTTCACCACATTTTGGAACAACAGCTACAACCAAGCATGCTAGCCCCAACAGGATGATGATTGAACCGGATTTTGTGAAAGATAAGTTATTAATACGTAATATGGGTATTGAAATTTAAATGAGAAATGTGGTTATAACTTTTTTTTGAGATATGCACAAATTGTACATTGTATGTTTGATGATTTCTCTTCCTTCATCAATTTTTGAAAAAAATGTAAACGAATAACTGCTCTGTAAAGTTATAAATAAATGAACTTCATGAAATCTGATTTGTCATCCAGAAATAAGTAATACAACTTGAGCAAGGTAATTTAGGATTCGGCAACTTATGGAACGGAACAACTCTATACTTCTTGATTGCAGGAAACAAGAGAGTTTTGAATTTCAAAAGAAAAATTGTACTTTCTTCGCATCATCCATAAATTAAATGCAAGAAGCGGATAATCTCATCATTGTTTTTGCATGAATTCGAGAGCATGAATGTTACTTGCAATTTATAATATCAGAGCAGCGGAAGTTTTTAATCATTTCTCAATTAGTGATCAGTTTATTTTTTTTTCGAGAGAACTGAGAAACATTTGTTCATTCATTAAGGAATTGATAATTTATCAATGAGCAAAAGCAATTACGAAAAATCCTATTATCTAATCTTTTTTGTGATAATGGGAAGAATATTCTATACCATAATGATAACGCATATGTGATTTTTCAATCAATTTTGGTCTAAAACTGGTGAAATTTAAATTGCTTCCTTCTTGATGATGAATTACTGTAAAAACTTTTTTTTTTTTGTGCTAAGATACTCTTTTTCAAATATTTTGAAAGTTTTCAAAAATTTTTGAATTTTTAGAAATGAATTTGCACCTAAATTAGCTTATAAGCATTAGATACTGTTAATGTAATGTGCATTGCTAGTTTCTGAATTATATCTAGTCAAAAACCAAAATTAGGAGAGATTGTAAAACTCAATGTGTATCATGATATACACAAATATTGTTTAGCTGTAATTGATTAGATGGATAATCAGAGAGAAAAGGGAAAATAAAACAAAAGAAGAGAAATGAAAACGATACATTTTGTTTACACATGTCCCTTTTTTTTTATTACTATTATTCAAGAGCACAGGCAGTGATGAAAGTAATACCTGAAAACATGAACAGATCATTTAGAACCAAAATAATGGCAAAGCAAGAAATTTACATATAATAAAGGAATTAATCAAGTGTAATTAGTCCGGTAGCTGAAACTAAAATCAGTCTGAACAAGGCCTGAGTTTTGTTCTTGTTTTTTCCCCCCTTTCAAATCAAATTCGACATCAATCTTCTGCCTGGCAAACACTAAAAATAAGTTCGGCCCATTCAAATATTCCTCTAAATGTTTTTACAATCGATATGTAAAAAGTTTGAACATCAGAGGTAAGTTATCCTAGACAATAAGAAAAAAGAATTCGATATCTGAACATCTTCGAGAAATAAGAATGTTTTTAATTCCATAAAGATTTCATTAAGTAGCAGTATTAAATTATAAGTCTTGGCAATCAATTTATACAATTCTTTTTATATTTTCAAAAGTTGAGTACGATTTTCGATTAATTAATCAACAGTGCATAAGTAAATGTTAGTAAGCGTGTGATTTTTTCCTTGGCGATGAATTAGCGGAAGATACTTTCTTCGAGAACGGATTACGTGAAGATAATTCCCTGTTTGGTGTTCCGGCAGCACTTGTCTGGATTATGCTGCGAGCTGAGCCCATAAGACTACGAATGCGTTGACGCAATGACAACATTTGTGGTCTTTCAATTTCCACACCGCAACTGTCCCTATATGGAACCGTTATAATTGGAAGAAAATGTTGCAATACTAAATGTTTATTACTTTTAGCATAAAAATTGGAATATGTTAACTTTTAATATTTAAAAAACTTAGACATCAGGACAAAAAAATTTACTTTGTCTTTTCTTCTTCATTTATGGATCCATTTGCAGAATTTTTGAGCACTGTAATTTTTTTTAGCCATGCGACATCCACTGAAAGTGTATGACGACCAACTGATCCACGAGGATGCTTCTGCTGGATTTTAACATTATCTGATTTATTTGATTTCTAAACATGAAAATATGAAATCATGGAGCATTTAATTAGCTATATATATCTGAAATGTCAAAACTACGAAATACCTTGATCATAACTCCCATTAATGAATAACTGGCTATATTTCCCTATAAACAATTGCAGTAATCGTAATTTTGCTAATTTTGCAATGGTTAATTTGATATTAAGTGGACTTATAATCTAATCTATCAAGAATATGGAACTTACTCGTATCCCTTGATAAGGGTTTCTATTTCTCATTCTTTCATTCATTCCAGCTAACTCGAATTGTGCACTATCAGCATTCACATTTAGTGTTGCAGTTGCCCTTTCTGGATCACTACATGGCACGGAAGTTTGTGCATGTACGATGAAATCGTTTTGTACGGCGAAATTTACATTGCATGTCATTTCTTCCTGAATGTTTTTCACCACCAATGACTTAACATCCACCTGTTCCTCGTTTTCACAGTGTAAAGTTGAAAGCGAATCATTCAAACAGTCGTTTGCTAATAATGATCTCTCGCTTACTGCATCTGAAATGAAATTAGACAAGCCGAAATTACCATTTTAATTCGAAAGTCTACATGAAATTACGATTTTAATTTGAAATTCTACTTGGAATCACGATTCTAATTTGAAATTCTGCATGAGCTAACTGCCACAAATGTAAGGATCCATGCATAAGCGAATTCAGTACGCGACTTCATGAAATGAAATGATTGCAGTTAAACTACACGACACCCATTATTCTTTATAACCTTGAAATCGCATGGAATTTTTAAATATTTCTTCTTCAGTTTTAACCTTGTCAGTTTTTTTTGTTTGAAGGAACAGTCTTGAAAAAAGTGCGGAACTCAATTTTACAAACACTCACCAAATGAAGTCAGATTCTTTCTCTTATCATATCTTTTTAGTTTTGATCATTGCGTGTTATTTGATCTTAAGCGCTATCTCGTAGTGCGATACTATAAGTTATTTCAAAATTTTGAAATTATGAATAATTTTTTAGAAGGTGTATACCATTATCACTTGGCCAAATCCCCACTTTAAAGGCTACAACCGTTGCATGATCTAATTTTCCAGGCATCTCGCTTAATTTACATCGCACCATTCTGCGATGATTACGTTGTTCACTTTTTGTCAGACGTTTCTCAATTTGGTAAAGTTCCGGATCTTCCAAGGTTCGGCGCTTTGCCCTAAAAAAAAAAGTGGAAAATGGAGATAAAGACTAATCAAGAAATGTAAAAGAACAAAGATCCAAGTACTAAGCAGATAGAAAAGAGAAAGAACAAACTTGTACTTAAAAACAACGAATATAACTGTAAATATTGCATGATCCGTCATACTTTTTTTTGGTTGTAGATCTAAAATACTCTCCGAACTGATAATAAAAGGTGCTATTCTCATACGAACAAAATAAATTATTGAAAAGAACACTTTATACATTGGAAACGATAAAGGACGATAAAGTTAACAGTACATCTTTCCATATTTTATTCTCCGCATTCTATATCAGGCTCTACAGCAGTTTTATGAGCTTTCTACTTTACTTTTGTACTAAAAAGGTGGCCAAAACATTTTTGAAAATGAGCCAGTACAACCCGAAATTCAAATTGAAACGAATAACAGAAATTACTGGGATTCAGTAAATAAACTGCAAAACTGAGCACTGCAAAATTATATGGAAAAAGAAATTCACTTTTCAAACAACCAATTTATTCGTCCCCTTTCTTTTCTACCTTTACTTAAAATCACTACAAAAATCAATTTCAAAAGGATTTGCAACATCTTTCCAAGAATTTAAAACCAAATAGAATCAAGTAAGAAATCGATCATACTTATATACAGCATGTGAATGCATATTCATATAAAAATAAGCTTACATGGATAGCTGCTGAGCGAACTGAATAAGATTATGGCACAATTTGCTGGCACTAACAATAACGCCATTGCTGTTCGGTGATCGTGACCGACGTGCCGGTGAAGATCTTAATCTTGACATGGGTGGGAGGATACCATTCGAAATTATATCACCCATCCTCAAAAAAGACCAGACAGCATTACAATAATTATTATAATAAAATATCTATAAATTACAAATTCGAAGAATATCTGCAAAATTTTTCCTTAGTATTTTATTTGGAATTCGGAAAAGTTTATAGTTCAAATCCAAAACGAAAAATTTTGTGCTAATACGAAATTGAAAATTATAATTACCTTAACAACATTAACTCATGACGCTCCTCAGCATCAACACATGGAAGTGACGCATTGCAGGTGCGTATTCGAGCAAATTCAACATCTCGATTTTTACCTTCACTACCTACTGACCTAAAAATAGCAGAAGTTGTTCAAGATTTCATTCAGTAACTTTAGAGTTTCGAAAATAAATATATCAGCAGCCATTTGACAGCTTAACACAAATAGAATTACATCATGTATAACAAATAAAATACATTACTAAATAACCATACCGACGCGTTAATGAATTTTAACTCAGTAAATAAAGAAATAAATTATTTCATTAAATAAATTATTCCATTGAATAAAAATAGTAAGAAAGAAAACGTACACTGCAACTGGCTCGCATTTTTCAGAAAGAATGACTGGTTCTGACGACCTCTTGATAACACAAAATTTCCCAACTACCGGATCAAAATTATCAGAAACACCATCCGATGTTATGAATATCACATCATCTAAAAAAATCTTTCTTATACCTTCTACGAATCTCAGATAAGAGTAACATGTTTGGCCATAATCTTCACTTTTTCTTTCGAATTCCTCACCTATGTATTTTTTTGATTTTCTTCTCAAAAGTTCAAGCTTACCTGGTTCTACGAATGTCATCGAACATGTAAG